CAAAACAATAGGTAAAGGTCCCCAGGACACTCCACAGACTTTAGTTTCTGTTTACAACGGACTATTTCTATGCACTTGCTCCGCCATCTACCCTTGCGAGGAAAGCTTGGCAGGTAAAGGGCTGAAATTCTCTTATTTTCATATCAGGTAGCTGGCTGGTCGTGGCAAGATCTGGGCTTAACACTTAGGTTTTTCTCTGACCCATTCAGGGTCCCGGCCTTTTGGCCCCCATTGTGTTGGAGCAAATCCATAGGAGGAAATAGCTAGGTGACAAAGAAGAATCCTTCTGTTGTGCCAAAAGGAAAACATTCCTTGAAGGCAGAAAGGACTAAATTGTTGGGTTTGTAGCCTAGATAGGTTGTGGTATGTGTAGCAAATGCTCTCCTACTTTGGCCCAGACAACTGAGAAATGTAACTAGCATGAATTGCATTATTGTCTGCTCAGAACTTCAGTGGAGTACATGACAGGAGCTCTAGTAGAAAAAGCCTTGATCTCCGGCCCACACTGCATCCTGGTTGTCTAAAGACAACAGGAGCGTTTGTTTGTTTGTTTGCTCCTTTGTTTGGGCACTCAGAGTTGAGTCCAAGGACTCATATGCTTTGAACAAGTGATCCATCACAGGTCTATAGCAGCCCCAGTCCCATGACCAGCCCCAAGGAGACTATTTCTATCAATAAAACTACCAAAGAGTCCTGTCACTTCTTTGTTTCCTTGGATACATGAGACCACACTAAAACTCATAGTCCCTTCAGAAAAGTCCCCAGACCTAACTATGACTTTGTTTTAAAGCTGCTGTTTATCAGGGGATTGAAAAATAGTCATGAATGACAGACACAGGAACTTCAGAGACAGAATACTTCTAGTCCCTCCCTATACAGGCCACTTGAGTTGTTTTAAGAGAGCTGAACTCAAGTTACAAGACATCTTAGAGTCAGCCTTGGTTCACTAGGAGTACTGTGCACCTGCAAGATGTGTGGTATGAAGTTAGAGAGGCTCAGCTAAGGTGGTGTTGGTGACATCCACATGGCCTCATCACCACCCTGCCCCCTCCTTCCTGGGCCCACAGGAGCTTTTTCTCCCTATATCCTGACGTCATTTTTATGTTGCTTTTGTAATGGGAAGTATAGAGTATTTTTCAGACCACTTTCTGTCCTGTTTTGCCTTTTTTAATGGGGGGGGGATATAACTCAATAGTAAATACCTGACCACCACACCCAAGGCCCTAGCTTCAATTTCCAGCACTACAAAGGAAAAAAAAAGAAAAAAAGTTGTATTGAGATATAATTAGCATATTATGCCAATCATGCAAAAAAAGTATACATTTAATACTTTTAGTATTTTTCACAGATTGTGCAACTATCTCCAATGGTATAATTTGAGAATGTTTCATTTCCCCTGGAAATGAAATAAAACTTGCTCATGCTCAGTCTTCACTCCTTCTACAAGCCCCACCCCCAGTCCTGTGAAGCCACTGATCCACCTCCAATTCTATGCATCTTCTTATCCTGGCCACTTCATATAAATGGAACCAGACAATATGGTGACTTGGCTGCCTTCACCTAGCATGTTTTCAAAGTTCATTCATGCTGTAGCATTTATTGTGTTTTAAAAAATTATTTTACTAGCATGTTTATACTTTGATAATTTCATTCATGTGTACATTGAAATATCATATACACCCTGATCCCCCCTTTCAACTTCATGTCTTCTTTTTGTATCCCACTAAACCCAATTCCAGTGTAAAAAGGTACAGGATCATTCACTGAAGCATGGGAAATCTGCCAGTGTCTATGCCCTAAAAGAATATATGGGTACAGGACCATTCACTGAAGCATGGGAAATCTGCCAGTGTCTATGCCCTAAAAGAATAATACTTCCTCCTTATTGGAGGCTTTTGAAATTGCCAAACAGTTCATGCATCAGTTGATGGAATTTGGGCTGTTGAGAACAGCACTACTGTAATAGCCATGCACTGTGGAGCCAGGCTGAGAAGACCATCAGCCTCCTTATGGCTACTGTGCAGTCAAAACCTTGCCATTCATGTGCTTTGAGATGTTGAGGAGGCCTGGACACCTTTCTCCACTATGGCTAACCAGTAAGTTGGTTGATTTTAAATGTGTAACTTAGTCGTAGCTCCTAAGTTCACATAATAGTTGGGCAAAATGAAAAATGCCAGCAAAGTTTTTTTCTTAATGCCCCAGCTCCTCAATAGACCTTACAAAAGTGTGCTTGCACACAGTGCACAATGCGGGTGCTTTCTTCTTCCCTCCATGCTTGTTGGTCCAGCTGTCCTGGCTTTCTGCTTCAGAACCAAAGTTGATGGGCAAGACCAATAACCAAGCGGTGGAAGCCAAGCCCAGTGCCAGGGCTGGAGCCAGAACATAGCCACTGCTGCTGGATTGGAAATACTGGAAGCTATCCTTGGCCATTTGGAGATGTTAATTAGGCTGGCAAATCCCCACTGGTCTTGGGTTGCCAGTGTTGAGTTTCGTGTGCAGGCTTTCCCATCCACTGCCTGCACCTGTTCCCCTCCTCAGAGCCATTCCAAGGGGTCTGAACAGCCCCCATCAGCTCTCTGATCCCCCTCTGCCTGCCTTCCTGCTGGGAGAATAGTTAGCACTTGCCTAAAGCTGGAACCCCAGTCCAGTCTTTCTCCCTCACCATGCCAACTCTCAAAATCATTCCCTTTCCTAATTATCTTGAGCCACTTCATCGTTTCCACACTAACTGTTCAGTAGCAAGGATGTAGGTTGAGGCAGCCACATCCTTGTCTGCCCTGGCCCAAATTTACCCCAGGTGTCAGTGCTACAAGCAGGCTTTCCTCCGAGATAAGAAGCTGGCTTCAGATGCCACTTCTTCGCAGCTGGAGGAAACATGCCCTATAAAGACCCATGGATTCTCAAGTAGCATCCCTAGGCAGAGCTGCAGATAATGCAAATCTCCAGCCATATTTATTATTCCCTGAATTAAAAAAGGAATTTATTATTCCCTGAATTAAAAAAGGAAGTCTTTGTTGATATACAAAATATCAAAGAAATCAAACAGCACCAAAAAATAAAACCCTTCTCTAAAAATGGCCTCTGGATTCTCCAGGCTTAACTGTTTGTGTCTGAGCCACCAGTTGGCCAAAACTATGCCATTTGGTGTCTGAGTTAGACTGTGAAGGAGTCTCCCCAGGAGTCTGTCCAGCTGCTCCTACATGGAAAGGAGCTGGCTGCTGATTTCCCAGTACAATTAATGTCCACACATGTCTTCTTATTCAAAACACACTATACCCTTGCAGCACAATGTCCTAAGTCACCACCAAACCTCTCAAGACCCTTGTTTCCTAACTGGACTTCTCCCTTTGGGTACTACAGAAATGTATGTGTTTGTATATTCATGTGCTCTACCTCCCCACCATCCACTACAGCCCCCAAAGCAAGGGGGGTTTTGTCTGCAGTGTCCATTGCTACAGACTGTAATGGTGTTCAGAACACATCTGGTGTCCAGTGGATGAAAAGGGGTGTGGGGGGGGAGTCACGCTTTGTGCCTCTTTTCTCCCAGGCATCATGTGCCTCTCAGTCTCTTCTCATCCCTCATCTCCAAGCTCAGTATCTTCTCTTCTAGGCTTTTCAAATAGTGTGCAGGGTAGCTGATGCTCTGTGCTAACCCCTGGGGTTGTACTAAGAGGCAGCCTGCTCCCTGGCCCCAGCAACTGGGACCTCACCCTTCATGAGTTCTGCCTGGATGTCAAGAGCAGGTGACATCTGAGCCCTATGGAATAATCAAGGCAGCCTCCAACTGCCTCTGCCTGTGCATCTCCTTAACTCAACCATGGATTGGCAGTTACTGAGATACTCTTTGTGGGCCGGCACACCACACCAGGCTGTGTCTGGGGACCCTCAGGAGAGGAGCAAACCCAGTCCTCATCAGCAATTACAAACAAGTCCTCCATTGTTAGCACGCCATCTGCTTTCTGGGTTTCTACCAATCAAGTGCCTGCATGCATAGTGTAACCAGGGCCAAGGGGGCTGCAGAAGAATGAGATCAAGGAGCCCCTTCATAAAAAGCCTTTTCTCACATAGGAGAGCATCAGGAGCATGGCACTCTTGAAAGCCTGAGGCTCTTCACTCAAGGTAGAACCATGCACACAGAGGTGTATAGGTCTCCCATTAGATAAAATAGAGCCCTGAAGTATGGCACAACTGAGAGAAATATGAAATCTAGATAATTATATTATCATCTAAGGACAATATCATCTGTTACCCACAGTCAGCCTGGGCAGAGCTTCTCATGCCCTCACATAGACAAGGACCCAAGTTCATAGTAGGACAAGGAAGTGCTACTTGGTCATCCAGGGCTGGTCCTGGATCCTGGCTTCCTACCCCAAGTACTCTTATCAGGGAGCTGAGTTTTCATCAATAGATTGGAGAATACAACTTCACAGAAGTACTACAGACTCATCCTTCAGAGAGCTATAACAGGGAGAATGTCCAAATGGTGTTAGAAAGTCTCTGGTCACAGTGCCAAGCTTGGCAGATGGAATCAACAGAAAGTCTGAGTTTGTAATTGTGGCAGTATACACAGTAGTTTGTGTCACTGCTAAATGTCCAGATTCGATAGGCATCTAGCTATATGGAATTCGGGAGAGTTGTGGGGGGCTCAAGGTTAGGGTAGAAAGCTGCTTTCTGAGAGCAAAAGCAGGGTGCATTGCTGTGGGAAACATTGGGAGTAAGATGGTGTGGAAGGGGTGGTGGGAACCTGTCAGAGGGAATGGGAAGCTGAGATCTTCCCTCAGGTCTGTATGCTTTCCGAGGACTCGTTTATAAATAGGACAGCACCTGGTATTTGGCCACATTAAGCAGGTATTCAAGTGAACTTTCCGGAACAATGCTGAAGGCTTTAGGAATAGGGCTAGCTGGGGGATACATGTGTTATCAGCATTGTGTTCATCATCAAGCTGCAGCTGTGGAGGCGCCATCCTTCCACTCACTGGATCTTTGTCTTCTCTCTTCAGATTAAAATACATAGCGGTCTCAGGTCTCATTATGATCCTTGGGCAAGGTAAGACTAACATGTTGGTGTTGTCCTGTCCCCACCTGTGCACACACTAAACCCTGCTTTTGGGGAGGGGTATCCATTGACTAACACTTACATGTCTCCTCACCTTCTTGGGCCTCAGCCTTGCCTGCCTCCTGTCTTCTCCCAAGAGGCCCTGCCCACTCTCCTGCCCCTACATGTCTGTGCGGCCCGGTAGAGCCCAGCTTTGCCTGCCTTTTCTTCTGCTGGTACACCCTGGGCGGAATCCGACACCAACACCTGCCATCGTGGAAAATGTCTTTGTCGCCTCCCCTTTGTATGGGGGGCTGCAGGGAGCCATGGGTACAGCCCACCCTCCCCACCCCCGTTTTTTTTTTTTTTTTTTTTTTTTTTTTGCTAGGCAAGCCTGGAGAAGCAGGATGTTGAGATGAGCCGATAAGATGAAGCTCGTGCTGGGCTGGCCTTTGACTGCTTGCCTTAGCAGAAGCCTCCAAAGGCCTCCACACAGGGAGGGCAGGTCTTCAAGGAGGGCTGCTGAATAGGGCAGCTGGGAGAAGACAAACAGACAAAAGCTGGGCAAGTGCACAGGGCGGCGAACCCCAGGATCTATCTACAGTCTAGGACTCAAAAGAACAAGCTGAGATGGCAGGTGTGACCTCCCAGCCTGACCTTTCTGTCCTGGGTCTGAGATCCTGACCCAGCACAGATAGCTCAGATGGATGGCAGCCATCACTGCAGGACTGGGCAATGACTCTCCAGGGTGGCCTGACTGTACTGGTTCTCTGATTCACAGGTAGGAGAGACTTGGCTAGTGACTATGGTAATGCCACTCAGAAGAGAAAGCCGTCATTTATTAGCCGCATTCCTATGGTGGTCCCAACACAAATAGAAGTAGCTCAGCCAGGTCACCACTGTAACTCAGCAGGCTGCCATACCTGCTGGCTAGATGAGCAACTGGCCACCTTAGTGAGCTGATCCTCTAGCCCAGCTGCCTTTTCTCTTCTTCTCAGTCATGGCTTTGGACTGGTCCCAGCAGTGTCCCAAATGTGACAGCATCCACAGAACACAAGTGCTCTAGTCAGTAAGGGTAAATAGGATTGTAAAGTCCCTTCCCAGGGGGAGTTCAGGGGCAAATATTTGTATTTAAGCCCCGGTCCCATGTACACCTACACCTGCCCTGGCAGAGGTAAAATAGAGCCCAAGTGTCCTTTGAATTAACCCCAGCTTCCATCCCCAGCAGAAGCTGAGCTGGGCCAGCACTGCCAGCAGCTTGCAAGTATAGTCTCTGTATCAGGAAGGCAGCCCTTATCCTTTGTGCCATCTATACATTCTGCAGCTGCTGCCTCCCCATCCATTATGGGGTACAGTGGGCACAGAGTGGCCATTGCAGGATGAAGGTGCACCAGCAGAAAGTTGAGGACTGAAGGAATGCATGGGTCATGGTTGCACTGGGTCCTGATGTGGCTTTGCTCTCTGCCCTTGGCTAATGGGATCTCTGCCTTTAGGAGTATAAACCCCTTGCTTGCAGAGCTTTGAAATGATGACTCAGGCTTATTCACTGAGACAGCTGGCACTATTCTGTCCATCTGCAGGAGCTCAAGCTGTGACCCTCTGTCCTCCTTCACTTCCCTGTTAGAGGGGGATCAGGGTACAGCTAAAATGTTTGCTTCTGACCAAACATTAGCGATTATTTTGCCTATTATCTTTAAGCATTTTATTGACTTGCTTTTTTTTTCTTTCTCTCTGTTTTTGCTTCTTAATCCCATTTCAAACCATAATACTCTCTGAGATTCAGTCAAGTTTGTTTCCCTTACTGCCCTTTACCCCTGAACAAATGTTCCTGCCCATTCCTAACAATTAGGAGATGGAGATATATCCACAAAAACCCTATCCTTGGGGGACTAGAGAGATGGCTCAACAGTTAAGAGCTCTGGCTTTTCTTCCAGAAGTCCCAGGTTCAAATCCCAGCACCCACATGGTAGCTCACAGCTGTCTGTAACTCCAGTCTCAGAGGACTTGACACCCTCTTCTGGCCTCTGTGGGCACCAAGTGGCACACATGCATGTATATAAGCAAAATAAATACATGTTTAAGACAACACTGATTCTTGGATGACTAAGTCTATGTGTGCTACCCTTGTTTAAAGCAACCTGAGTTTTATATTTTTGCAGTACTTGTACTTAGGGCTTCATGCATGCTAAGCAAGGGTTCTACCACTGAGCTACCCCCACCCTTGGTAGTCTGTTCCTGATGAGGTAAACAATAGGAGAGGGGCCCAGGCCTCTCTGTCTGCTAACCTCACTGACCCTAGAAGGGAGAGAGGGTGAGTGCCTGTCCTTGGAATCTGAAAGTGAAAAACCATGGGGTGCATGGGGCAGTGTCTCTATGGGTCAAGGGGACTACTGACTTCAGAAGCTCTTCCCAGGGGGTAAGACAAGGTCAGAAGACATAAAAAATAAACCAATAAATAAAAAGCTGTAAGCAAAATAACCCAAATAAATTAATTTCAAACACCAGAAATGACCGTTTCAAAGGCCATAGTTGTAGAGGAGAAGTCCATAGGGAGGAGGCTCCAGGCGTGCTGCTTTTGAGGTTTGTTCCAGGCAGAGGCCACTCAGGGAAGCTTAGAGCATTTAAAAATATATTACAAGGGGAAGAAAGGGTGATGAAATGATCCTCTCATTCAAAGAGTGGCCCCCTGGGATACCAACCACCGCCGCAACAGTGGCCTAGTGTTGCAGCAGCATTCTTGTATTCCTCTGAGCTCCCAGACAGCCACCCTGGGGAAGGGAGGAGTGCAGATCTGTGAGTTTTAATTTTATTCCTTGTTCCCTCTAGTGCTAAATAGCTGCATGCTCATCTGGACTCATTCAGACAAGCAATTTAGGCCTGGCCTCTAGTCTCAGGCCCTTTAGGGAATAACTGAGTAGTAACTCATGTGAAATATCAATATGTAAACATGTAGGGATCCCAAGAACACAGCATTGTCACTGACTTTGCCCGGGGCTCCTCCGTGTCTTTCACTTCATGGTGCTGCAATCGGATGCCTTTCTCTTCATTCTTTACTTCCTGTCCTAGCCAGAAAGACAGATTTTATTTCAAAGATTCACCGATTCGTAATTTCTTTTACATTGTAGAAAAATCCAAGGCAAAGACTAAGAGGAATAACATGTCTTTGGTGGTATACTCAACAAACATCCTTGCAAAACACACTGTGGGACAGGGAGGACATCAAACCCTCTTCCCAAGGACCAAGTTCCCTTGGTCTTCTGAGCACCATATATGCTTCCTTCAGTATGTGGCTAGAGAGTCCCTTTGACCTCCATGGTGTGAACATTTTCTGCTTCCTTTGCAGGGGTCTTGATCTCCAGCCTGAATATGGACCCCAAGAAAACCCTCCATGTGGAAGACACAGGCAAGACTCCCCTGCTATCCCCAGGACCCTCAAATCTAGACTCCAGGAAACTGCCCTGTGCTAGCACGTTTGCAGCAAGCCTTCCCATTGCTGGGCCAAGTTCAGAAGTGATCTAGTTTGTGTGGAACTTTCAGACAAGGCTGTGTCCCTCTTGTCCTGGAATCTCATAAACCTTGGGCTTTAGAAGAAGAAAAGAAGTTGCCATCACCTAGGAATAAGCCTGCTGTGATGTGTAGTAGTCTGGAGCCCTAGGCAGAATACAGTAGCGAAAGGTTTGGGGGCCCACAGGGAAGGGGCAGGGGCACTTGTCTGTATCCCTGAGTTGTTTTCCTGGCATTTATACACCCAGCTTGATTCCCAAAAGGGCTGACAAAATAATTGTGTGATTGTTGGAGGAATTTCCTCCATAATGATTTTGCTAATCCTTATGTTAGGATTTACATTTTAATTCAGACTTTTCATCATCAAAATTTCATCATCAGGGAAACTGGCTGTCCCCAGGGTCTTTTCCCACAGGAAGTTTCACCTCCATCATTAGCTTTTCTCTATCTGGTACCTGAGGCCTACTGACTAAGATTCTCCTAATGACACAATTCTGCCAGGTCTTGACAGAGATATTCCACATAGAGCGGTCAGAAGTGTCTAGAAATACGGGGCTGTCCACATGAGAACACTAAGCAGATGAGTGGCATCTCTGCCCAGCTCAGCTCAGCCCAGCCCTGCTCACCCCAGTTTGTCCAGCCCAGCACCACCTACATCAACACACAAGATTAGTGCCTGCTGCAGCTCCAGGGCTGACCAGCACCCACATCATGTCCAGTGCCCCCAAAAGCTCACCTGCAGTCTCCTCCTACCTGTTGTTCAGAGACAAAGACAAGCCCTGGAAACAGTTCTTGTCACATAAGTTTTAGGGTAACAGGTTCCAAGCAATCCATTTGATGCATATATATGTATTATATATATTAACCTGTCTGGCTCCAAGGAGAGTGTGTTGTGCCTATTAGGGACGGGAGAGAGGGAAGGAGTTAAATGTGTCCCTTGCTGGACATTTTGGACATTAGAATCTAGCAACTAAAAGTCAGTTCACAGGGAAGAGCTCTGTCCCCACTCCCTACACTCTGTCCTGGCACTGTCTCAGAGCTCCAGTGTTGCTTCATTCCCTGTTCTGCCTCAAAGCAAAGCACAGAAATTGCTGCAGAGGCCGTCCCTCCCTTGCTATATACGGTCCTGCTACCTGAGGCCATTTCCCAGTGCACATGTCTAGGGTGACCCCTTCACTCAGAGCAGGAAAGCAGCTGTGGAATGTAGCCTACAGGGGCTCAGGCATGGGAAGGGAAGGCCTCGATGTGGCCACCTCTCTACCTTCCTCTCTCTGTTCTTTATTCTCACCCGTTACTCCTAGCCTGCTTGGTCATTCCCCTGAACCTGCTTCTAACATCAATGTCCATTCTCCCAGAGGATCCAGCTTTTTCCATCTACTGTAGAGTTGAATTGGCTGCTGTTAACTTTGGTAGAGAAAGGGGCAGAGCCAGAAGCCAGACTCAGCCTTGCAGTGAGTGGGAATTCTGAGAGCATCATTCTAGGAGCACCTTCCAACTGCAGGAAAAATTCATCCACCTGCTGTGAAGGGAATTCTGTAGCCTTCCATCCCAGACCCACAGACAGAAGCACCTGGAAAGCTGCCTGGGGATCATAAACAGAACAGGACATTGCAAAGCAGAAGGAAACCCCTAATCCCTGTGCGCTGTGTGCTAAGGGCCAGGATGCTCACTTATTGGGAGTTTAATGGTGATAGAAGGGTAAGGAAATGTCATGGCATTTTCCATTGTGTTGGTGATACCAGGATTCATAACACACACTCACTGTGTGCATGCGTGCCTCTGTGTGTGTGTGTGTGTGTGTGTGTGTGTGTGTGCACATGTGTGAGAGATGGAGGGAGGGGAGAGAGAATTTGAGCTTTCTGGTCTGGTTGCACAGTATTGCTCAGACTTCTATTATTGATCCGCTGCTTGACTGTTTACAAAGTGCCCAGACCTGACTACTGTAGAGTCACCACAAGCACACCTCACCCCAAGTCCTGGACACTAGAGGCCCCTGTAGCCCTCTTTCAGAAGTAGCTTCTACAATAGCACCTAAGGCTCCAGAAACCCCTGTTGTGGAATTCTTTCTTGTCATTTTGGAAGTCCTCTAATTTTATTTTTTTAGTAGTAACAGAACCCAAGGCCACAACCCAGTCCCCAGAGGTTCTTTTTAACTCCCCCAGCCTTCTGTTCATGTTTTCATCTGCTTCTATAAGCCAACACTCTCAGACTTGGAGTGAGAAAGTCAGTTGGAGGTAGCTTAATGGTCTTACCCACCCCATTCCCCGGGTGACAGCAGCAGTTTATGTATGTTTATGTTTTACTTTTTTAGTCCATGGGCCTTGGATTGGTAATAGCTCTGGTTAGAGACTTAGACTTGGGGAGCAGGGACTCTGATAACCATGTTTGGTTGGATTTAGCAGTTCTTGTTATTTGGGGTGGAAAATTAAAATGATCAAGTTCAGTGTTTCTTTTTTTTTCAGTTGGAAAAGCAAATATTGTGTTTTTATAATAAATGTCTCTTAGCAAAATTGCTAAGGGTCACTCATCTGGTAGAGACCCTCCAGAGAGTGACTCATCACATCAGTATTAGTAAGTCAGCCATCTGTAATAAAAGTGGCGCTAATTACCCCAAAGTGTGATATGACTCTGGGCTCCTGCAGGGTCTGGCCAGTGCCCTTACTTCTCAGCATGCTGATTTCTGGATTTCCATAAAGAGGGAAACTGATGTTTATATTCTTGATTAGACTTTTATGCTTTAAAAAACAGTAATCCTGCAAAATTATGACTTTTTAAAAATAGCCAGACCTTCAGCAGATAGGAGAAAAGAAATTTAGCCTGGTGAGTGACTTTTACAGTGTCTTCAGCAGCCAAGTTTTCAGCTCTTGAGAGCCCTGGGGAATGGACTCTGACTTTGTAATTGGCTGGTTAATAGGATCCTTAGCCTTATAAAGGAGACCACACAGCTCCAGTGAGCCATGCAAATCCTGTCTTCCCAACTGTCCTCAGGTGTCAATTCCTTCTTGCCACTAACCTGTAATGGAGGTTTGATGGACCCTCTAAACCTTCCAGTGTGTCTTATGTGCAGCTGTGTTACCCCACACCTACTGAAGGGGGTGTCACATCTAAGGGAAACTCGTCCTTGTATTTGCACCCAATTTCTATGTATATGACACACACTGTAAGCAAACATTTTCTTAGTTTCAGGTCTACCATGTGTAGTATGTGTAAATAGGGGGAAATTGATAGAGATGATAAATTAAGTTATAGCATGTTGTTTGATTGTTTTGTGGTCTCTTGTTATTTAACTTCCCAGTGCTGCATATCTAGGTTGTTCTGAGGTGGGGGAGACCTCCAAGTCTGCCCCACCTTGACAGGAGTGTGCTCGTGTACTAGGACACACTCCACAGAGGCAGCCATGCTGGGAAAACACTTAGCTTCTTAATGGTGCCACTCAACTCCAGTTCACTCTTGTTCCTTCTGATTTCTTAGGATGATTTGATGAGCCAGAAGCACAGCATCTAGGTGCTGCATGTTTCTGACATTCTCATAGTTTGTAGGAAAATAAAAGTTTATCCCAACATCTAATAAAGTGATTTGCATTTTTATTGAACAAAGTTATTCAAAAGCATTTTGTAAATCAAAGCCAACAGGTATTCAATATGGTAGCTGATACCATTCAGAAAGCTAACATATGCATACTCACACAGAATCTACCTCATGGTTCATGGTATGGAATGCTAGTTTTCAGCCATCAGGGAGACTGCAGCCTCTGATGATCACAAAGTAAACTTCTGCGTATACGGTTCCTCAAGACTCATCTACAGCTGGGAACATCATCCGTGTCCTCCATCCATCGTCTCACCTAATTAAACCCATCCCTGTCTTCATGATGGCACTAATGGGCCAGCATAACCTGTTTTTACAACTCATAATGAGCCTCAGAGTGACCTTTGTCCCCTGCTTTGTCTTTCCTAGGCAGGCTCCTATTCTAGCTAGGGTCCCTGCGCCCAAGGAGCAAGGTGTATTTGAGAACTTAGTTATTAGATGACAGACAATATGCAATTTGATGTCCTGCTAGTGTGGCTGAAGCCAAGTACTGATATTTCCTGCCTCAGGACTCCAGCAATCATTACAGCCTAGCCTGTGGTCTCCGAGAGCATAGTGGGCCACTCCCATGTACCAGACAACAGTGAATTCTCAGGATGCTGAACAACCAAGTTTGTAAAAATCATTCACCTGTTCCTTTAGCAAATGCTTGCTGAGTACCCATACTTGCAGAACATGTTGGTGTCCCAAGAAAGGGTCTAGGGAGTCAAGTGCAAAGGGGAGCCTGCATTGACCTGGCTTTGTTTTAGCTTATAACCGATAACCAAGAGTTTATATGTGCAATTCCTTCTAGAAACAACCTAAGTGTTGTGAGCCAGAAGCAGTACCTCACAGCCTTCTGCTTCATTTGGGCATTTCTAAGAAGGACTCAGATTCCTGCCTCATTTTCTCTCGGGTAGAACTAAAGCATCTGCATCCCTTATAGCTTCCCCAGAAGGTGATGGATGCCCAGAAATTGACTGGAGAGCTAGAGGAGCCTTGCTGATGGCATTCCAGGCAGCCCCATGTGTCTGTGGAGCTGGGTGGCCCACTGCTCTACAGCTGCTTCTTAGAGCTGAGTCCCTCCCTCTTGCTAACTGTTCAGCGCAGCAGATGGCCTTCCAGGGTTCATGGGGAGCTTTCCTCTGGGGTCATATTGGAATACTTTTCAGACATGGAAATGAGCACTTGAAACGCAAAGGCTGTAGTCGCTATTGTCTCATAAAGAAGGTTACTTTCATATTAATAGCAAAAAGGTGGGAAGGGGCTGAGCTGAGCACCATGTTTCCTGTGAGAGATAGGGTCATCTTCAGAAACCCTCAACACCCTCAGACCATATCATAAAGAATCCAGCTTCATTACAAAGGACTATTAGAAGAATGCAACTGTAGGGTTTGGTTTGTTTGTTGAGTATTCCAGGAGAAATGCCTGTTTCCTCCAGTGGAGTGTCTCCTAATGGGAAGATACTGAATTTACAGTGTTCACTTCTGTGCACACATCTCTGGTGTAGTTTTCTGTTGTTTTTTTTTTTTTTTTTTTTTTTTTTTTTTTTTTTTTTTTGTGTGTGTGTGTGATCTAAGCCAAGGCCACTTGATGAAAATGTTTATATCAAGAAGCACTATTGTTTGCTTTTCTATGAATAGATATGGTTTTAATTTCATTTCATTTTAAAAAAAAGCAAAACCAATGGAAACTGTGGGAAACTTAACACTCTGCTCTACAGCTGGGAACACCAGCCCTGTCCTCCATCTACTTCTGCTATAAAAACTGATGCCTAAAGGTGTTGCCTTACTGGCTTTCTTGCAGCTAGACTGGGGCTCCCACCAGGAGCTGAATCTCCTGGGTTCCATGTGTAGGACACCTCCATTTAGCACCAGTAACTGTTCTTAACCAGTACATGGACAGTTTGTTGAACAATGTAGTTTTCGTGTATCCATTGTAGTTTAACCACAGAGAGGAGGCTTCTAAGTCCACATCCGAGGCCACCTTGAGTCTGTTGTCATAGGAGCCAGATGAGCACAGCAAGGTTTAGCACTGTGAGGATCTGATTTTCCAGAAATCTGGATCTGGTTTTCCAGAAATGTGACCTGTCCTTATCATCTACAAAAAGAGCACTTGGAACCAACCCTTACTGGGAATTCAAAAACCACCAGATAGCAGATTCCTGGAAAGTCAGATTGCATGGGTCTTGACATACATACATACATACATACATACATACATACATACATACATATATATATATATATATAAATTTTTTTTGAAAAAAAAGATCTGGCACCAAGGCAGACTTGGTGTAGTGCCCAGGTTGGCCACACCCTGGGAGGCCATTCCCACCTTCTGGAGTCAAAGAACCATGTAGTGTTTAGCACTTGCTACCATTTGCTCACAGTTGTGATTGCCTCCTAAGAGAATTTACAGGTAAGGAAGGACTCCAGGTAAAGGTGGTAAAGACACACCAAGACCTTTGAACACCACAGGGACTACCAGCAAGTGGCTGGCTCCCAAAGCCCAGGGCCAGGTTTCTCACATGCTGCCTGTTGCTGTAGCATCTCTCCAGCATAGCTGATGGCCCAACTGGGGAAGGCAAGGGCATGTCTATGACATGCTCCCCCTGCCAAAAGGCACTTTCACTTGTGCTCCAAAGAAGCTGACCTGAAGCATCACAGCAGGGGACCCTGGAATTTGACATCTTGCTAAAGATCACTGAAAAGAACTTGCTGGAACTGGATCATGCCTTTTGTGGTTGTTACAACTTTACAAGAAGAGTATTTTTAATACCTAAGTCCCTACTAGCCTAAATTAAATAGGATAATATGAGAGGGGGTATGGATTTAAGCTGCCATGTTATATGTGTGGATAAACACTTGCCAAGCATGCACAAGGTCCCTGGTTTGATCCCTAGCACTAGAGAAAGAAAGGTTGGGGTGTGTGTGTGTGTGTGTGTGTGTGTGTGTGTGTGTAGATAGATAGATAGATAGATAGATAGATAGATAGATAGATAGATAGATAGATTTAACAATAATGTTAATTCTGCTCTTTACATAACCAAATTCAGAGAAACTAGGGAGTTCATGTCCACATCAGACATGAAAAACACAGGCTTAATATCATACTGATATATTGCCTTCCATATCAGACTACATTATGTATGTGATTGAAAATTCCATTTAAGACATTTAAAAAAGAAAGAACAGATGCATTAAATGGTCTTAGGAACAAGGGTGCCTTTTCCTGTGTGTCCAGGTGGAATTTTTAATCTAACATTTATGTATCCCTCGCTCTCCTCCTGGCAAAATGCTCATTGAGTTTGACAGACTATTTTACATGAATAGGTCCCACTCGTCAGCCTCCTCCTTGGCGTGGGGTCCTAGGGTCTGAAAATTGGAGTGTGCTTTTCACTGAGGGTGTGAAGTGTGGAGGGACGGCTATTACAGATCCTGAAAGGATCTTTTTGACTTCAGAAAATAGCCTGGCCAAGAAAAGCTTTTTTCCATGAATACTCACAGACTGCATTATGCTCCTCAGATGATAGAGGTGAGCACTTTTGATCAATATTCCCCAAGAAACGCTGCCAGGCTAAGTGGGACCCAAGGGCCTCTGGGAGACACCCCTCCCTCGGAGCTGCTACACCTCTGCAGCACAATTCTCACCAATGCTTTGAGATAGAGCATCAGCTCTCCTTCTAAACACTGACAGCCCATTCTGTCCCCTGTGTACCTCACCAGAAATGGCTACTTCCCTAGCCTTACTTTGGGAGCATTTTGTCGCCTCCATTTCAGAAAAAGCCAAAAGCAGAAGAAAAGACTTAAACAGGAGCTTCTGAATCAAGAAAGGTTTGTTTGTTCACTTAGCATCACTGAGATTGCAATGACATGACAGTATGGATGAATGATGCCCTGGATACACTATACATTTTCTCTCCATTTCTGCCCCCATGCCAACTCCCCTCTCCCATGAAAATGGTAAGCAGGTTTTTAAAAAAACAAATTCTTTCTCAAAGCCTTATCTCCAGATTCATGCAAACACATACACGGTTGGCTTTTATTTTATACAGAAATAGCATTATATATTATCTGTTACTCTGATGTTCTTTTAAGATTAACTGTGTCATAGGTGCACATATCTAATTCATCATGCTTAGTGGCTGCATATTACTCCTCAATATAGAATTCAATTTCCTTGCCCGTGTGTAAGCATTAAGGTGGTCTCCAGTGTTCCTTGTAACGATACTACTTCAATAAACACCATCACACTTCTACCCTGGCATGTGACTGCTTTTATTTCTGTTTTTTGTTTGTCAAGACAGGGTTTCTCTGTAGATTTGGAGGCTGTCCTGGAACTCACTCTGTAGACCAGGCTGGCCTCCAACTTTCACAGAGATCTGCCTGCCTCTGCCTCCTGAGTCCTGGGATTAAAGGTATTCACCACCACCACCCAGGCAATTTTTGTGGACAAATTTCCAAAACTGAAATAAGTGAGTATTCCAGCTTGGATCTGGAATGTACTGCAAAGGCTTCTGAGTCAAAGGCCTGATTGATCTGTGGGGCCAATAGAACACAGGGAAAGTGCTGTGCCTTTCAAGATTACGTGACAAAGGTATTACAGTCTCCTTCCTGGCCTTTCGAAAAGCTTGTTCTGGGAAGGCTGTCATGCTGTGGGGACAAACAGTGCTGTGGAGACTAGATAGCACATGAGGGCATCAGATCAGAAGCCACCCCTAACATCATCAACCTTTCACTTGAATGCAGACCTGTTTGACAGATAACTGTAACTTCTTTTTAAAATAAAAAATAGATTTTTTTTAGCCTATGTTATATGTATGAGTGTTTTGACTTTATGTTTATCTGTATATCACATGCCTGGCACCCATGGAGATCAAAAGACAGCATCAGATCCCCTGTAACTAAAGTTACAGATGGTTGTGAGCTACTGTGTTGGTGCTAGGAACTGATCTCAGGTCCTCTGGAAGTACAGCCAGTGCTCTTAACCACTGAGACATCT